CAGCAACAACAACAGCCAGCGGCGTCACCCGTCGCTTTGGAAAGAAGTCGAGAAGGCTTCTCTGACGCTTCATCGGTCTATGATGTTTTCTTTTTTCTCCCCCGCTTTTCCTTTCGCCTATGCAAAGAAACAATGCGAAAAACACAGTAGCAAACATCATTGCCATCAACAGCCGAACCAAATGCACCAGGAAGAAAAATCAGCGAGTATGTGTGCAATCAATAATAAAATACAAACAAGAAAAAAAAAAAGATATAAAGTCGCCTGCAGCAATAAAAAGGTTGAGATAAATTATTCCCTTCACTCTTCAGGTGCAGTTGAATGTTAAATGGCGTGCATGTCTCTCATGCGCAGAAGCATCTGCGCACACACACACACACAACACACAGGCATATGCCTCTCACTTTTAGCGTAGCTGCCTAAGAACAATTTCGCGGTACTCGCTGAAATCCCCGTCGAAGCGTTTGATGCCATTGTTGGCGCACACGTATATCTCATCACAGAGTGAAGTGATGAAATGTTCGTCGTGGGAAATCACCAGGAGACCACCCTTGTACTCCAGCAATGCCTCAATGAGTGCATCCAGCGTGTCAATGTCAAGGTGATTGGTGGGCTCATCCAGCAGGAGCAGGTGCGGACGCGTGAAGGTGATCCACGCCAGCACAACACGTGACTTTTGGCCACCAGAGAGTGTGTAAATAGGCTGCAGCGCCTTATCGCCACTAAGGCCGAGAGAGCCAAGATGGGCACGCAGTTGCTGGTCTTCCACGTGTGGAAACTTGGAACGCATAAACTCAACAGACGACAGTTGTGGTGACAGGGCCTCCAGGTGGTGCTGCGCAAAGTGTGCTATACGAATTTTTTTGTTACGCACAATATGTCCCTGGCGTGGTTCCAGCTTGCCGTAGCAAACATTCATAAACGTCGACTTCCCCGCGCCGTTGGCTCCCAAAAGACCCACACGGGAGTTTTCATCGAGGCCAAAGTTGACATCACGGAAAATCGTCTGGCCTGGTTTATACCCAAATTCACAGTCCACCATCTGCAAGTACGCACCAGGCACCAGTTCAGGCTCGGGAAATTTGAAAGAAAACTGTGGATCAAACTTCACTGCTGCCACAACCTCCATGCGTTCAAGCATCTTAATGCGGGATTGAGCCATCTTGGCACGATTCGCGTTGTACCGGAAGCGATCTATAAACTTTTGCATGTGTGCACGTTGCCGTTCCTGTGCCTCGTGACTCTTCTGCTGTTGTCGCAGCTGCTCCACCCGTGTCAACTCAAACTGCTCGTAGTTGCCCGTGTAGTAATGCAGCTGCCTGTCATCAAGGTGAATAATCTCCTGGCAGATGTTATTCAAAAAGGAGCGAGAGTGCGATACTACCACAAGTGTGCCGCGCCAGTCTTTTAGAAAGTGTTCCAGCCACAAAACGGCAAAGAGATCCAAGTGGTTCGTCGGCTCATCCAGGAGGAGGATGTCCGGCTCCACAAATAAGGCGCGTGCCAACGCCACTCGCATGCGCCAACCGCCTGAAAGATTTCTTGTGGGAGATGTCATCATCTCACGCGTGAAGCTTAAGCCATTTAAAATGGATGCCGCACGGGCCTCGGCACTGTGAGCCTCAATTGCATCAAGACGTTCATAAACGTCTTTCAATCGCGTGCTTGCCCCATCATCGTTTCTCTTTAACAGCTCCTGCTCTTCTCGCAACAGCTGCTCACGTTCAACATCCGCAGCAAGAATGACCTGCAATGGTGTTTCGTTGCCCGCCACCACCTCCTGTTCCACATGCAAAATCTGCACAAAGGGGCTAACACCCTCCAACTCTCGCTCGGTGAGAGCGCGCAGAAGCGTCGTCTTACCCGTCCCATTTCGTCCAATAAGACCATACTTGTGGCCAGTAAGAATTGTAAGATTTGTGTTGTCAAGTAGAACGTGTTTTCCCATGTGAATATGAATGTTTTCACAACGAATGTCACAGGAGTGTGATCCCCCCTCGTTTTTGTGGTGCAGCTTCACGATGGTTGTGGTACTTGCAATACCACGCTTGCGCAAGAACTCCTCGTATTCTTCGGCCATAATCGATTTCTTCTCTTCTTCCCTTCTTTTCCGGCGGGTCTCCTTTGCTGCGTTGCGTTTTGTCTCCCACGTCCAATCTGCATTTGTATTTATTATTGCAACCTTGCCAACTTTATTTATCATTGTCGCCTTCTTCAGGTTTTCCTCGTACTGCCGCCCAATACTCACCGCGTTCACCAGACGACTTACGTCCTCCTTTGGCTTCTGTGCCAGCCCGCTTGCCTCCATCTCACGGCAAATCGCCCCCACAGCCATGTTCAGGGCGTCTTCACTGGAGCAAACGGCGAACTCGGCGAGGTACAGCTTGAGTGTGCGACGAATAGTCTCCTCCGGCAGGTACGACGCAGGATTCATCTGCCCCTCAAGCATCTTCAACAGATACTCGAGGACGCAATCGTCCAGCTGCCGCAGGCCCACTTCCGGTACATTGTCTTGAAAAACACGCACAATATCCGGATGACGGGCGTTCAGTATCGCCTTCACCTGCGCAACGTCCATGACAAATGAATTTCGACAAGCAATGTGGTCTCCTCCTTCGCGCGTTATTACCTTATCCTACAAAGCCAGTGGTAAAGAGACGAAGCAAAAGGAGAGGAAGGTGACTGGAAGGTAACTCATACGCACCAACACAAAACCACAACAAAAAGCAAAAGAGAGAGAGATAGATAGAGAGAGAGAGAACGACGAGGGATAAGCCTCCAGATATCCGCATGAGCCTGATTTTCACATATGCACTTTCACTCTCTGCTCCCTTCATCCTCCGTATTTCAAGCCAAGAAGGAAGAGTCCGTGCAGGTGTATAGACATCAACGTACCCACATCCACCCCTCAATCCGCCTCCTCCAGAGAAGGCACAGGAAGGACAACAGAAGATACAAAAACAAGAACAGATATGCCCCACTCTACATTTCCATGGTCAACCCGCGCTTTTCTAGCTCCATCCTCCACTGCTCTCTCTCTACAGAGTACAACTCCAGCAGCGCTCGATGCCGCGCACGAACGGACTCAACATTTTCCACGCGTTCAAGCTCTTGGCGTTCATCTCCGTCGGCGCCACCTGCCATGCGCTTACCTTTTTTACCTGAGAACAACTGCAGCCGTACATTAGCTCGCGCCTCTTCATCCACCAGCCGCAAGCGTTCTTCTTGAATCACCTGGTCACGAATTGGAGCAAAGACATGTTCTGGCAAGTTGTCCCGACGCTTGCTAACATCGTGCATAGCCCCAAACTTGCAGCCTGGACGGACCCCTGAAATGTAGGAGTCACGGTCTTTACCGGTGGGAATGTAAGGCATCCTTACTTGTTGTTTTGACTCCCCACTCATAATAATAATAAGAGAAAAAAATCAAAAGAAGGTGGAGTGAGACATTAGTAGCAGTCAGGGGGGTGGGGAGGGGGTCAAATGCAGACAAAAAAATTAACTCCCTGCCACCACAGAGTTCCAACGCATGCAATAAGTGGCGAATATTAACCTCGGTTAGCTTATGCGTTCCACACAGAGAAGCGGCGGAGGACAAAAACAAAAACAAAGCAAGGAAACCAAAAAAAAAAAGTGAAAAACAAAATTTTACTCGCACATCACTTCTTCTTTCCGTTCCTTGCCCCTCCACTTTTGGCACGTTGCTGTTGCGTCAATCCATTGTGAAGCTGTGGTATAACTTTGCAAAGCTTGAATGCGTCGCACTCGTCAAGGTCAGCGTAGTAGTTTGGCACATTTTCCACTACCTCAAAGCCAAAACTCTCGTAGAATTTCATCGCTGCAGATCCCGCTTGCACATGAAGCGTCACCTCTCGAATGCACAAGTTGTTTTCGTTCGCCACATTCCTCAAGACTGTGTCAAGCAGGCGGCTACCAATACCCAGTCGACGGTATGGCGCAAGCACGGCAATAGTCATAACATATAAACAGTACTCGTTTTCTTTGGATGTGCTCTCCAGACGGCACGTGCAGCTACCGACAAGCATATCATAATAGAACGCAATTTGATTATAGTGATGGGTGCACGGCCGCACGTAAGTATCGTAGTAGGAATCCGAGTACTTGACGGCAAGACAATGTTGATCTAGGACGCGAACACGTTCAACAACGCGAGGATCGTCAAGTGTTCGTATCTGCAGACCTTCGATAGGAGGCAACTCACGACCCGCGTAGCTACTTTGATTCACAGCAGCGCTATTGGTGGTGGCCATAGCCTTCTTTTATTTTCTTTTTGTTATCTTCCCTCCGTCAATTATGTTTTGCTGGTTTTGCTAAACCTGTTCCCTTTATTTCTTTGTTGTTGTTGTGTGTCGTTTGAGAGATGTGAGAAGTCAATAACAATATCACACAAACAGAATTTTTGTTTTGTTTTCGTGCATTCAGACCAGCGGCTGGGCGACGACAAAACAAAGAATGTGCGGAAAACACCACGTGACGGCTGCGGCGAGAAAAAGGAGCACCAAAAACAAAAACTGCCGCAACACCCGGTAACAAGTGTACAATGAAGAACATCAGCAAAGTGAGAGAAGTGCGAGGGAACAAATCCCAACAAACCGGCATCACCACTGCTGCGAGGATGCATCAACGTCGGCGGTTCCCACCCAACTCATCACACACTTTCCTCTCCACAGACACACACAGTTTCCCTTTCCCCGCGCTCTCTCTCTCGTTGTACACGCCCCTCAGTGGCCTCTGCAAGCCCATTTCCAGCCACGCAACGAGGCGCACCCACAGCAAGCAGATGGATTTGCGGCAATAATGTGGCAGCTGCACACGACGGTGCCACCACGGAAGATCAACTCCGTCGCAAAAAAAAAAAAAAAATAGCAATTCGCACAGTTGTCTTGGATTCCTACTCAGTCGTCGCAGCGCCCCCCACACTCATGGACTGGCGCAGCAGGTCAAGAAGATTATCTTCTTCCACTCGTCGAGCATCCTCCGCCATCTCAGCATATAACCAGTTCTTCAATTCAACGGCAAGTTTTCCCACGTCCGTGGCACGTAATCCAACAAGGCGGTTTGGTGTATCGTCCTCCCCCCCGGCGCGCGCTGTGTCAAGAGGCATGTCACCAAGACCTCCACTGGCGCCAACATCAGCCTCACTATCCACAATAACCGCTTGTATCTCCACGCTGTTGTCATCTAAGTGCGCCACCTTCTGCACGGAGCGCGACGGCAGCGGCGGTGACTGAGTCCGGTTCGTTCCTGATGTCTGAGAGACAGTTGCATTAACAGCTGTGGCTATCTGTCGTTGTGCACGCCGAAGTTGTTGACGCAGATCGGCTATTTGAGCCTCGTACACGGCTTTCAGGCGCTCGTTTTCTACCTTCATTGCATCTACAGTATTGTGTGAATGCCGGTCAACCACACGGGCACCGCGTTTAATCTTGTCAAGACGATCTTTCAACTTATTTTCATTTTCTTCAGCTGAACTCAACCGCAACCGCAGCCTACTTATCTCATCAAGCTGGGAAGTGATCACGCGTCTGGCATCCTTCAATTGATCTCCAACCTTCCTGTTGCGTGTACGAAGATAGTCATTTTCCTTCCGCAAATCTTCCAGAAGCACCTCCGTCTCGTGCAGCTTACGCTCCATGACGTGTGGTGGTGGTAGTGCAAGTGCATTTTTTGTCGCCTCAACAGCAAATGTTTCCGTCCTTTTCAGGTCTTTTCCACCCCTTTCAGCTCTCGGCTTCGCAAGCGTTACCTCCTGTGACATCTGCAGAGTCGCTTTCCCTGGCTTCTTAAGTCGCTGCTGTTTGAGAGATCCATGGTGTGACAGAAGATCGTTGCTGTTGTTGTGGCTGTATTCGGACAAAGCCGGAATGTCTCTAGCGAAAATTTCTGAAGTTACAGCCATCCGTGGCTCAAAGCATTTGGGTCCAATTTTGTTTGAGGGCATGGGAGCCTCCACCCTGCCTTCCAAACCGCGTTGCAGGCGATCAGCCTCAGCGGTTGAGCAGTTTTCCGTTGGGGTTGCAGTAAACGCAGGCAGTGCCGTCGCATTGCTAACGGGAATGGGGCACGCTGCTGACAGCTCTAGTGGTACTTGTGTTTCCGGCAATTGCTGAATCTCATTCGGGGCCGAAGACAGCAACGCCTCGGCGCGCAGAAGCGGCACCCCATCCAAGGAGAGCACAGAGGCCTGCAAGCGCGCCACAAGAACTCTATATCCATTCATGTTTGCCACCGGGTTCTCACGCAAGGAAAGCATCTCCAACGATGGTGTGGAGGGCAAAAAGTAAAGCTCGTTTGCGTTGTCTATTAGGTTGTGGTCAAGACTCAGGAAACGCAGGTGAACCATGCTCTCAAGGCCAACTGTCGTCACGATACGGTTTCCTTCGGCACGAAGGACGTGCAGTGGCTGTGAACGCGAGAGTCCAATCAGTTTCTGAAGACGATTATAACCCACGTTCAGGTCACGCAGATGCGGCAGACAACCGATGCCCTCAAGCGACATAAGATTGTTGTGGGACACGTCCAGCTCCGTGATTGTGACAGGGAGAAAACCAATCGCGGCGATCTTATTATGGCTCGCATTGAGCCGCGTCAGAGCTGTCAGTGCATCCAACTGCTGCAGCTTTTCAATTCGATTGTGGGAGAGATCAAAGGAGGTGATGAGGGCGAGCATCTCCCTGTCCTCGCGGGTCAAGAAGACCGCGGCGAGGTCAATTTCTTTGATGTTTTTGCTCCGCCCAGATACGTGCATCTCCGTCGCGAAAGCCGCCGGCTGGACAACGGAGTACATCACCGACTAGCCCCGCCCCCTAATCACGCAATAACATTTATTATTATGTTTGTTTTTAAAGGAAAAAAAAGAAAAAAAGAAAAAATACACGCCGGGGAAGACAGCGTCAACGCACGGAGCATTCACCCCATAGTTCTCGTAATCACCCTGACCCCTTCATCGGTTTCACTCTTCCCCCGTCCGCGCTCTCTCGGTAAAAGAACGTCGGCACTCACAACTCATACAACTAAAAAGGAAGGATGAGCATGTGCCTTTGTTGGCCTCCCACACACGTACAAGTCTCCCATCTCTCTCTCTCTCTCTCTCTCTCTCTCTCTCTGCTCCCCTCTATAAAGGCGTTTATATAGTATATGATGAGCTTCGGTAAACAATGGCCTCGAGCTTAATCATCTATGGGCGTTAATTCTACACCGGTGTCACAGACGCCAAAAGGGCCGAAAGATTACGCGCAAACGGCGTCGCAGCATCGTGCTCCCCGACACCTCGCATCTTCGCTGGCGTTACAGAAACACGTTTTGTTGACGGAGAGCTTAGTGTGTAGGGCGGCCGCGAGTCCGCGCGGACAAACCACACCTCATCTTGCTCGTACTCCTTCTGTTCCAAAAGACGATTCTGTATCGCATCCTTCAATGCGTTCGTACGGGCACTTGCCTGCGGAAGCTGCACCGGCGCCTTAAACACCTTCCGCAGCTCCGTGATTTCCCTCTGCAGTCGGTCCCTGTCTTGAGTGACGCTCAGTACGAGCGTTCGCATCGCCTCGCATACGTCATGGCCTCCTGCTGTTGACTCCGACGCCGTGTCAAACGTGTCGGCCGCATCCTTCTGCATTAAAAAGGCAGATTCTTTCTCAGCGCGAGCGTACCATGACTGGCGTCGAGTCAAGAGTTGCTCAACTTCTTCGGTTGTCTCCGACTCAGCGATGCCAAAAGATATACGCTCAGCCTCGTGGATTGCAGCACAAAGTGACTTCCACTTCACCTCGCGCTCAATGGCCTTCGTTGCAAAACGACGAAGATGCGTCTCCAGTTGGTGGACCCGTTGTCGCAGATTCTTCTCAGTTGTGTGCAGCTCAGATAGCTGGTGCTCAAACTGCTTCTGCCGCCTCTCCATCTCTGCCGCCAACTTGGACACAGCCACGTTTGTGGCGGACGCTGCGACATCGGGCGAAAAGGACGCAGGAGGCGCTGTCTGAAAAAAATGCATTTTTTTCGCAGTCGTATTCGGCGTTGACTGCAATTCTGCGGTTGCCTCAGAGACCCAGTTACAGCTGCTGCTTTGGCTGTAACTATTGCCGTCGCTGCCGCTGCCTTCTAGGCGCCGCCATTCCATGGCAGCCAAGTCACACGCTGTTACAAGACGTGTCTCTATCACATGATACGCAGATACAATAAGCCAAAGCCATCTCTGTGCATCATGCCGCCTCCGTGGGGAGTCCCGCAGAGCGTCCAAAATGACGCTGTGCAACGATGTGGCCGTCTCATGCACATTGACAACCTCACCTGTTTCTGTGTCCACCACATCTTTTAACAACTCCTCCACGAAGGACGCCGATGCTGGAGTCTGACTGCAACGCTCCTCTCTCGTCCTTTGAAGGATACGGCGCAGGTGAATAAGCTCCTCCTCTAGCATCGCTACCCTCCGTTGTTCCTCCTCCAGTTTCTGCTTAGAAGCATCATTTTCTTCAGACATGGGCAAAGATGAGTTGGCCGACGCCTCTGCGCGCAACTTTGTCAGTTGCGCGAGCAATTCCGTTCTCTGCACTTTGAGCTTTTCGCATTCCTCTGACATGGCAATGAGGGCCTGTTGGAGTTCCACCTCACGTTCCACGACTGATGGGCCCATGACGCCCCGCTCTCCTCTGGCCGTATGGCTACTTCTGCTACTTGTACTGCAACTGCGAGCCTTTTCGGCAATTTCCCTGATCACCGTGCTTTCCTTGTCGGTCCTCTGCTTCCTCTTCCCCTGGTGGGAAATCTGACCCGTGCACCGCCTTCCAGCTAGCGCCTCGTTAGATACGTGTACAGGGCCTCGTACTTCGTCCTCTAAGAGCTGCGACGACACTGTCATGGCCTCTGTGTCAAAACTTAACTGCCGCTTCAACCACTCTTCGTTATCTTCCTCGGAGACCCCCAAAGAAGACACAGCGAGACTCCCTTCTCTCCGTTGTGCCCGCCCTGGAGCAGGCCGACGTCTTCGCGCCACGGTAGCGATGCGAAGCGACTCCTGCAGCTGCGGCGGCACGGCAGTAAGGGGCAAAGCACCACCCACAACAAGTGCTGCAATGGAATCAATAGACTGCAAAAATTCTGTGAGTAGTTCAGACACGTCAGTGGCGAATTCCGCAGAGAAATCGGTGCGTTTTGTCAAATGATACAAAAAGTAAAAGAGTACCAAAGCCGAAAACCCCTTCTCCGCATCACCGTGCTGGATCGCACCTTGATCCAGAAGATTCAGTGGAATGCCCACATCGTCCAGTGCGGAGCGCAACGCAGCCCAATTCATCTGAGTACGCTGCGAGAGTGTGTGCGTCTGTGGCGAGGCAGTGCGGATGCGCAGTTCCGGAAACACCAAGTTGAAAAGGCTGCACAGGACGACCCCATCAGCGAGGTCAGCGTAGTCCCTCAACCGGCAGGACGAGTACCGTTCAGCAAAGGCAAAGAGTTCGCGCCGACCAATGAGTACACTCATTTCGCGTGTTATTCCTTGACGTGTTTTTGGTATCCTTCTTTTTTTTATCACCCTTTCGTCGTCGAGAAAGGTATCTGTGTATGTGGATAGCGATGCTTCTGTATGCCTATCACTGCCGCGCGTTTAGGCCCAGTTGAACCCAGGTCAAGTTCCGCAGAAACCGAAATTCCAGCAACAACACGCGTGGCAGCGTCTAACACGACTCAGGCGCACCACCTAAATGCAGAGTTTCAGTGTTGGTGTGATTGTTCAAGGCCACAGCAACGAAGAAACGGGCACAATACAACAATAATAAAGATGCAAAAAAAAAAAGACAGTAGGGCACATGTCCAGAAATATCACCTCAGTTTGTACGTATGAATCAGGTGTAGTATGCGCAGGAGTAACCTCCCTTATCTTCTTCTCCACCTATCCGCCACCGAGTCATCAAAAAATTCACGTCGGCGCCGTCTCACTCCCCATCGCCCACGTCAACGTTTTTTTTTTTTTTTTTCGTTTCCGTTCTTAGTTGCTTCTTCTGCTACTGCAGAAGTGACGTAAACAAGTCCCCTCACACCTTCACGTGTTAGTGTAGATGTTTCCTCCCTCACCTCTCAAACAGTCCTTCTGTTCCTCCTCTACCTTCCTTCCTCTCCGCCCCCCTCGCGTTCGCCGCCTCACCCAGCAGAACTGGTACATCAGGCCAAATTTGACCGGAAAATGATGTCTTTTGTCTTCTCCAAGTTGAAGAAGGTGTAGTTCACAATGACCTCATCCAGCCAGTTGACCAGCGGATCATTTAAAAAGTCTCGGTCAATGTAAAAAAAGACAGGCATCTCCACCAGCTCATGCGGCTTAAACCGTTGCTCCTCGAAGCAAAAGCACTGGATTTTGTTCAGGTAGTTCGTAGCCTCGGGAGGGGCAATGGTGTAAGACGAGACGCCCAGGAGGGTGCGATTGCTGCGGTTGTAAGCAGAGTAAAAGGCCAGTGCGGGCTCCCCGACGAGCACCTCCACCTCCTTCTGCAGTGGAACAAAGGCAATCGGCATGGTGTTGCCCACGTCACTCAGGAAACGAACCTTCAGCAGCTTCTTGACAACAGGGTACGACTTGTCCCTCTGCTCGCGCTCACGCTGCGCCTCAGGGGTGTAGAACTTGGGGTCAGCGCCGCGTCCCGTTGGCGCGCAGTACATGCGATAAAGAGGAACGAATAAAAAGGTACACCCAAGCGACATGATAGATACGCTTGCAAAGGCAGAGAAAAAGCGCCCACGCTCCTCGTAACTCTTTTTGCTCTCCCGTTCATACCCACTTTCTATGCGAATCTTACGGGGCGTTCCACCGGCTCCCTTTGCAGCGCTGCGGCGAGCCCATGAGCGACACAGCATAACACGCCAGAGTCACTAGCCTCAGCCTTTTGCTACCGCCTCGATACCTCACTCCCATCACCCACCATTAAACAAAGGAGACGGAGGAAAAGGAAGAAAATAAAAAGCAAAAAGAGAAAAAAAAGGTAAAAAAAAAGCTTAAGGAAAAGAAAAATAAGAGAAGCGAGAAAAAGCCACAATTCACATAACTATGTTTGCAGCTGTATGAGGGGCAAGAAAGGCCACACGGGGCGAGGATATATGGGAAAAATACAATAAAACCAAAGAGAAATAAATAACTTTGCACTCATACTCACTTCTTTGTTTAAAACCCACGAGGAAAGTAGGCCTGTTTGTAATGTGAGCATTGGCCCATTATTTATGAATGCAGGCCCTACCCTCCACAAAGTTAAGCCTCCGCGTTGGCTTCTATGGATATCAAAGAAAACGAGAAAGGGGAAAACAAAATTTAAAAGACAAGAAAAAAAAAATGATAGCACTTCTATGCAAAACCGCCCTTTTGGACGTTCCTGTTATGGTTGTTTTCCTTTCTATGCGTGAGAGCGGGCGCACCCTTGCTGCCCACCCAGCAGGAGTGACACACACAACCTGGGTAGTCAAACTGCCTCCCCACCGGAAAAAAAAATTACTATGGGAATGTGCGTTCACGAATGACGTCCTCTTTCAGAGTCGGTGTGAAAAGTGACCGTTTGAGGCTGTCACCGCTCATGAGACGCCGCGCCGGTGTTGTCTGACCACTCAAAATTTCCTCCGGCTTTTCCGCCACCTCCCGGCTCAGCGAGTGGTACTCAAACGGGGAGCGAAAGAGCGTGTCACGGTTCACGCCAGGGTGAGTAGCCACAAAATATTTGTAGCAGGCACGTGTATAATGTTGTCCTTTGCAGTCTTGCACAATGTCCTCAATATCGCTCGCAGAGGGTCGCAACGGAGGCCGCTCCTTTCCAAGCGGGCTTGGCTGTTCCTTCAGTAGCAGTGACCGAAAGGCACCCTCGTCCTTAAAACGAAACGGACAACCGTGACAGTCAAAACGATCCACCACAGGAGGAAGGGCCAGCAGCGTCGCACACGACATGGACGTGTAGCTTGTCTTCTTACCCTCCATCCCGTAGATGTGGCGGAGGCCGTATCCGTATGCAGTCTTAGTAAACGCCTCAGTATTGCCAGCAGCGCCTTTAAGAGTCATCAAGGAAGAAAACAACGTAATGGAATCTTGCAAAGAAAGACCAATTGCCTTCAGGAACAGGCCATACGTGAACCGTCCATGATGCTTTAGGTGCCCCTCGCGACGAAGGTGCTCATCTATTTGACGCATACATAGGGGAAAATGTGTTTGGGCTAGTCGGCGAACATCACCTGCACCCACGGCGCCAGTTGACGCTTCCTGCATCGCAGACGTAGGATCAGCCACAAAATGCTCCAAGAAGGCATCTAGCATTCGCATGACTGTATCCCGCTCTTCATCACCCTCATTGGATGTCAACTTCACTCGCGCAAGGAACGCCTCATGCAGGCCTCTATTTAATTTGGAACGAAATATCGTTAAAAAAACCTCTTGAGCCTGCTCCCTGTGAAGAATGGCCTGCCCCCGAAGGCACAGAACGCTACGGGTCTTGATAAGACGTGTGGCTAGGGTTAGTGGAACAGCAAAGTATTCCTCGCGACCGCGGGGCTGCAGTTTTCCCTGCGACGCCGCAAAGTACACAATGTACTCCTGCAGCCGTGCCTCCTGCCACTGCTCTTCAGAGAGTGGGTAGCACGGAAGCCCATTGTCGCGCATGAGACGAGGCAAAAAATCAGCCTCACACTTTGCCATCTGCAGCTTCAGTCGCGCCCGAAGCAAAGCCTCCTCCGTTTTCACAAACCACTTGCGCCATTGCTCGCTCATGCAGAATGCAAAACGTGAAAGGAGGTGCGAAAGAAGGTCCTCGTCACCCTCAAACACGACGGCATTCAAGGCAGCCAAGCCGGAGCGTGAAACCGAACGCCGTGGGGTACGAGAGCGATCGGCATCGTCAGCACCGGGGGTATCGTCTCGACCCAGCACCACGTGATCGGCGGCTTGCTGCGCAACCTGCTTGCGACGCTCGAGTGGAAGCCGCGCCCCAATTTCGTCAAGCAAAACACCAAAGCTTTTCACGTTTGGCGAGTTCATCAGCTGGTCGATCCACGCAAGCAGCTCCATGCGTTTTGCCACCAGGGCCTCTAGAGCAAAGAGGGTGCGGGTGCCAGAAGGCTTGCGTGTGTACATGGTGGCCCAATCGAGAATGGGAGCCGCAGCATGCTTCACCTCCTGCTGCTGCTTCGCATCGCTCCCAAGCGACGTCGCGGTGGTGATGATCGCCTGCATTCCGCCTTCACGCAACACGACAAGGGCCCAGCTGCACCGCGAAGACCTACACCCCTTCGCAGCAGTTTTCCCGCCTAATTTTTTTTTTCTCTCAACGTTCACGCCAACAAGACAGGTAAAAATAAAAATAAAATACAAACAAAATGACAACAACAGATAAGTGAGTGTAGCAATTTAGGAACTAAATAAATAAATTTTAAAACGAAATTCATTACAGAAAAAAATGGCGGGCTCGCCTCAATAGCCAGAGCTACATTCACAAACCGCTGCAGCAATGCGGGAGGGCAGTGACGATGACAACCAGCCGTCATCATCATCACCACCACTACCATAATCAAATTAAAATGCGGCATTTGAAACAAGTAGACGAAGAGCCAAATGCAGATGAAATTCAAAAATTAATTCCCATAAGAGCTAAAACAAAACAAAAAAATTCCGCACAATACAGACCAAACGCAGCACAATAAATAGTGCTTACCCTCCCGAATATCGCCTACAAAACAATAAAAAGTACGCCCAAGTAAATACGTGAATGTCGTGCATGCACGTGTACTCCTCTGCCTTGCCTAGTACCAGATGGCCTGACAGCATCTATCATTGGCGTATAAAGTGGGAAAAGGGATCATTGAAAAACACTGCCTGAGACAAACGACAGAGCCCAGATAGAAGGCAACGGCAGTCAGTTATTTTTGTCTGCGAGCCGTCGAAGGCTGCTGTGACGTAACGAAAACAGTGAGGGTTCACGCCGTTTCATGTCGCATTTCGACTCTCGCACGTACGTCTGCACCTCTTCTGCCAGCTCAGGATCCCATTTACGAACCAATTCATTTGTGAGCGCCACCAACGCCTTGCGACGCTCGTACAGCTTCCTAAACTGTTTGTGCTTTGATATAACAGACATAAACAGCGGCAAGGCCGCGCGTAGCTCCATCATGGCCTCTTGAAGAATCAATAAAGAGACGTACATCGCCATGGGAAGACTGAATAACACCGTTAAGGCTGTGCGAGCATCAGTGTAGAAAAATGTCACGAGAGAAACAAACATGAATACAGGAGGAACACTAAAAAATCCCACAAGAAGCTTATACGACCCTTCCACGTCGACTCCCACAACCTTTACGGTGCTTTCGGAAAGAGCCTTTTTCCTTTGACGATCTGCCACAAAACTCGCCAATATCCCAATTGGAAGGCACACAACAAAAAAAGGCACAAGAATAACACCCATCAAAAATAATGTAAAGGAGCGACGAAAAAGCAGTTGTAGTTGTTGTGCCTCGATGGACCCCAATTTCCCAAGTGTGGCAGCTTGACTGTCACGTACGAGTAGTGCGTTGCAGTAGTCCCCATAGTTTTCTACACTGTTACGAAAATCAATAAATTCTGGGTTATCCTTTTGCTCCTCCATGATGACGCTGAGGCGGCGAGCCAGGCGCAGGTAGTCCCGGGTTGCCAGAATACAATTTGGAGGTTGGTACAACTGACGAAATCCATGCAGAAAGTTTAGAGCACTCCAGTTAGGGACATTAATGGTAAACCCACGCAACTCTGCGTTGAGTTGTTCCAAAAATATGCCTGTTGCCTTGCGTCTATCTCGGCTAAAGAGCTCCAGAAGTTCCTTCGAGGGCGTAATGGGGTCTCCAAACTCAAGATATGCGCGGCTGCGAAACTTATGACCGTAAAAATATGTTAACCCACATGGAACTACCTTAACGCTGACTCCTCGCTCTGCCGCCCCAAGGCTGAAAAGCGCCACACCGGCTTTAAGTGGAAGAAGCGATGTACGATCATGGGAACCACCCTCAGGAAAAATACCTATACAATGATTGCTTTGCAGCGTCTGGTACACGCTGGTGTAGATGACAGAGTGATCAATGCGGCGGGATACCCTAAAGGGTGTGGGGTGTCTCACGACATCTGACGGCATCACCGGCATCGTGAGCTCCAACTCTGTATCGGAGTTGATGTGAGCTATTTGTGCCGTGCACTTGTTTGCCCCTTTCCACCATATAATTACATCGCCGTTAGCAAGAGACGTGGAAAACGTTGTCCTTTCGCCATGAACAATGGGGCCATCCATGCTTAGCAAGGACCCTTCTCCAGGTATGAGAGGAACATCTTGTGGACGAACGACAGGGACTGCATTCGTCATGCGTCCAAACTGTCCAATGATTGGTTTGTGAAAGGATTTCTCCGCCATTATAAATCGAACAGGGCGCCCACAATTTGCTTGAATCATTAAGGCATCTATAAACTGATTTTGATGATTGCCATAGAACACAACCGCCCCCGTCTTTGGAATACTTTCCTTGTTCACAACCGTCACCTCACGAAAGTAAATATTCATGAGGGCCCACATAAAAAAATCAATAAACAGTCGCACAGAAAATTCGCAAAATTTCCTCAGCTGCACGATGAGCAATTCAACCAAACGGAAACGATCCCAGTACCCCGTCCAGTCACGGGGTGGGACATTCTCACCACACACCGTGCAACGCAGAGAATTACTAGACTTTTGCACTTCAATGCGGTCCTTTGTGGCGCCCCTCTTCACACGAAACAACGGACTCGAAGAGACCTCACACTTGACTTCCTCCTCCTCACCAGTTTTCCCTGTATTCAACTCCTTAGTTGGCGTTTGTGTCTTGCCAACCTCTTCTGCATCGAGGCTATCCTTAGTCGCTGTTTGTGCCTCACTAAGATGAAGAATCCTCTGATGTTTGTCACCTTCATCCTCAGCTATACCCTCAGTCAAAATGGGAGATAAAGCAATCCCTTCTGTACGCACGCTCATAGTCCCCTACTTTTGCTTAGCTCGCTTACCTTTCTCCCTTTGCCCCTCTCTTCCCGTTTCTGATGTCGTTCTTGGTTACTGCTCGAACGTTTCGCCCTCTTTCCACTTCGACGTCTTTGTTTCGTCTCTCCCAGTATACGTGCGTGTGTGCGTGCGTATGTGTGTGTGTGTGTTTGTCGTTTTCCTATACTGTCGCAATTTGATTTTGTCGTAGCGTTTTCCTGCATCGCTTCTGAAGTGAGAGGAAAACGCAGAGACGCACCAATAAATGGCTCGAGCCGCAGAGCAGAAGTGTCGTAGAGTGACGGTCAAGAGAGAGAGAGCAACAACAACAACAAACAAAAAAGAATAAAAAATGAGGAAATGAAGAAGCCTCAAAAAGAACGGTTTGGCCACTCCCCCCGTTACACTCTCGCCGTCTGGGCAAGTCTCACTCCTTTCGCGGCTCCACCAGCTGGGCCACCTTGACGGCAAGCGCATAGACGGAATCGCCCTTTTCGCTCTTTTGCGGAATACTCATCGCCTCATCAAAGCGATCATACGCGCTCCTGCCGTACATTTGCAAAATCTTTTGTGCCCCAATCAAGGCAACAGGGGGATATGGATCCGCCATGACCGTTTTCCACGTATGGGCCTGACTACTGCCACCCACAGGTTCCAATTCGTCCAGAAAAGAGACCAACACATGGCGTGCCCGACAGGCCGAAAAGAATTGCACCGGATACAGCGCTCGATAAAGCGCCCAAAGCACACGTGCCCCAATATCATCCACAATCGATTGGGCGGTCACGAGTTGCCCATTACACAACATTTGTGATATGTCAGCCTCCAAGGATTTATTTAAAGGGCCGTTCTGAATCGTCATGGAACCTACAAGACGGTAGTACAGCCGCATCACCGTCTGTAGGTCAACTACCTCTGTATCAAGTAAAAAAGATAATATTAATGTGCTAAACGGCTCTACCGCCTGATTTGCATGCTTCCGCCCCAGAAACATTAAGGAGGCCAGGACATCCGGACATACACTCCTAATTTTCGCCAACTCAAGGCGGTCCCTTGACCCAGAATAGGAGACCAAATTTGTCGCTAAATTCTCAATGATTGCCGTGCCTCGCTCACTTCCCAAGTTCTCCTTGCTAAGCCGCATGCAGTAAAAAGCCATGCGCCAGCCAATATTGTACAAAACACCATCGGTATCCTCTTTTAACATGACTGGAATCATAGACGAAAACTCTGTGAGTACTGTGGCAAGGCCAGTACGCTCTTCTGCTCGTGATCCTACCGTATTTCTAAAAGCATTCATAATAGCATCAGGCAAACGCGCATCCTCCTCTACAAGCTGTAAGATACACTCAACAATAGCAACAACCTCTGTTTTGTACTCTCGCATTTCCTTCACATCCATGTCGTACGTAATATACCCTGGTAACTCGCGGAAGACCCGGTGCGACTGGTAAAAGAGTAAGGAGTGCAGGTGCCAGTGAAAACCAACCTTAACTAATTCAACGTAGCAGCGCCGCAGGATCCTCGGGTACAGTCTTGGCAAAGAAGAGCGAGTTGGCAAAACAGTCACTGCATGTGTAAAAAGAATCTGGAAAAAGGCTAAGCGAGCCCCCAGTGTCATTGACTGGCGGTACAGGTACAGCAGCTTGGCGACAGGCTGGTGACCCAGCTTCTTAAATTCTTCCTCATCCAGACTCAATGTGTCTTCCGCTTCCTCAGCTGCAGGGTCCCAATGCAGAATCCTTTTTGCAAAGGCCTCAGCAAAGGTGGTGTAGATTTGAGGATGATACGCAATAATGGTGGGAAGTGTCAGAAACTGATACAATACACAAGCATTGATGCGGTAAAGTTTATGGGAAGGGATAATAGTCATGGCGCACTTTGCAGCTGCCGTCCACACCATCTCATCACTACCCTCCTGAAGAGCTTGCTTTCGCAGCACGGTTAAGAGAATCCAAATGAGTTCCTCTTCCAGAGCCTCCGTGCAGCCTGGGAATATTCCCTGTGTATCCACAAGCTGAAAGTGTATCCCCAACGTGAGCAGAATGTCGTACACGTGGGTTCTAACACAAACGTAGGTGCTACCCATAAGATCAAATAACGTCGGAAGATAACATATACTCACAGTGCGAAAGAATGAGTAGTTCGACTGTAAGGGAATCTTCGACACGTATGCATCACACATTAATTTTATGAGAAAAGAGGTCGCTCGAAGTAAAGCCGGATTGGTCGTATATTTTTCCCAAAACGAGTTCAACACACGCAACTGTTCATCAATGACACCCTCTGTGCACTCCAATGGAAGCTGATTAACATAATCCTTACACCCAACCACGTGATACTTCACTGTCCAAGGGCCACTACGTGTTCTGTTCTTCTTCCCCGCAGTCACTGCCAACTCCTCATTTGACCAGCTGGAAATTGGTACGATGGGTTTTCCCTTCTCCGTGTGCTGCGCTATGAGAGGCTGCAAGGTACACTTTTGAATGTAATCTGGATTTCTGCTTAGCTCGCTCTGACGGAAAACACGTCCCTGCTTTCCCCGTGGAAGCGTGCGACCGAGCATGTAACTCAGCGGTTTATGATGAAGGTACGTGTCAACGACTGTCTTCAGCTCTTGGTAGATACCACTGTATGGAGTTCGACTAGTCGCATAGGACCGGCACTTGTTAGCAATTTCCTGTAGTGTCGCCTGCGAGGGCGGGAAGCTAGAGACACAGTTGAGAATAAGCTGGCCCACATCCCTCCGCCTTTGAGGGTCTTCCACCAACTCCAGGCAGCACCCATAGACCAGATTGCGTGTCTCCTGAGAGGTCAGTCGCTGGTACAAGACAGAGCCCTGATAGACTATATCCAAGGACTTGTTCTTCACGCACTCCACCAGGATGGCTGCCCGTATAGAGTCTTTCTGCACCTCAGACGACTTCATCGCTTCTTGGTGTGTTTGCTTGAGGTGGGAGTGAATGTCTGTTTGATGCTTTCCTCATGCGTTGTCGCCGCTTCCCCCTTGTCCCCGTCACCGTGAAGAAGGTGCTTGACAAAGAAACTGCAGTTAACCACACAAATACAAAATGAAGAAGAGAAAAGATACAACGGCGACAGGTCCCCGCACACACATAAAATGTGGAATAGAGAGAGAGGCCACGCGAACACGAGGCAACAACTGGAGATAAGCACCGCACATTTCGTTTCCCTCCGTTGACTGAATGGCGTCTCGTTATTAGTGAGAATTACCCTCTCTGGCAGTGGTGGTTGCGGACGGCACCGACGACAACGACGCCTACGATGCCTCGAAGCAAAAATCTGCGACGTGATGGAAAAATTTTGGTGCGTACGACTTCACCGTGCGAATCTCCCTCAAGCGCATCAATGACGCGACCCGCTCACCCAACTCCGCCCGAATATGCTGCTTGACGCTCTCCACTGCCGTCTTCTTCTCTGACAAGAAGTGATAATGAATCGTCCCAACCGGATCCCCATGTGGCGACCGCCTCAAGAAGGAGATGGCTCGCGGCAAGAAAGCTGCGCATGACGGGATGTAACCCATGAGCACCCGATCGCACTGGCCACACAACTCCGACGCCACCTCCCTGTTATCTCCGCAGTACGTACGGACCAAATGCCCGACCCGGTTTTGCAGCGCATTGTACTTTAGAAACCCCACGCTTGTCGCATTCTTTTCTAACGCATAAATGACTTTGACAGAACCAAACATTGCAAGGGGCAACGTGAAGTACCCGATCCCGGCGAACATATCCACCACCACCTCATCTTGAGCATTAACGGCGGCAAAATGCATGCGTTCCGTTCCATTGCCGCTGCAGAACATCACCTCGCGGACATCAAAGCTATACCGGATGCCATTCTCCACATGCGTTGTAAACGTCACCGAGTCCGTGTAGGCTTCAAACCGCTTCAAATCCTCGTGGGAAATATACGAAGGCTCCTTAAACTGTTTTAGTGCGTACTTTACCGATTCCTTCGGCATTGTTATCAGTGCAGTGTCATTCGCCCAGAGCATCTCTAATTTTGGTAGTCTCAGCTCCCCAGCAATGCCCTCCGTGTCCAGCAGCACAACATCGATAACACGTGGAAAAAAGGACTCCGCAAACGCCTTGGCGTGGACTGAAAATTCTTCCCGCGCCACGCCAGAGTTGAGCTTCACCACAACCACGTGACCCATAACTTCAAAGCGCCTTGGAAATAGTCGTACAATAGCTGCCTCCTCCGCCACCGTCGCGCCGTGCTCTCGAAGCTTCTGAACAAAGAGATCTACTTTCCTCGGCGCAAGTCTCAGCCCGCCTCTCCCAGTCCTACCTAATGTGCCGCCTCCCCCGCACCTTCGCTTACAATCACACACACGTCCATCTCTCAACACGTATTTGCGCAGCAACCACGTGAGAATTGCCAAAATAATGACGACAAGGAGCTTCCCCCGAGTAAAAATACCCTTCATGTTTCCTTAGCCTCACTCCTACCCCATCCCCCACAGCCACATTCCCCCGCAGTAACAGAAATGAGGGGGTGTACGTAATGTAAGACATGCGCAACTGTAAAGTGGCGAATTGCAATTCAGGTGCACTTATGCCCACAAGAGCAAGTGATATGCATGCTCAGATGCATATATATATATATATATAATAGACCAAAAATAAATAAAAAAACATATTTGCATAATGGTCTTCTTCCCTCCATGCAACTACCTCCCCATACGACAAAAATGGATCACCGGTTCTACGACTTATTGACACTTCAATATCCCATGTTATTGCCGCTTTTGAAGGGAAAGAGCAGCGGTAGTGGCTTTCAAGTGTCACAAGACCTTTGACACTATCCAAATCCGATATTTGCCCTCAAGCTAACGCTGATATGATGCCAATATCAAATCATGCGCCTCATGATGTGAAAAAAAAATCTTCTCACTCGTCCTTCCACCGTTCCTCTGTACGACACTAAATCTTGGTCATGCCAAATGCTGAACCCTGCTGACAATGAGGTGTTTTTGTATCAAGAAGAGGCTTTACAAGCGTTTTATTAAAATACTCTACCTACCCACGCAGTCGGTTAAGCATTTCACCTAGAAGGCGTTCTTGTGCCAGGTGCGACGCACCACAAATGTTCTGTGGCTTTCTTTGGGATGTTCATTTCCACAGTTGTTGCAGACTTTGGTGTAGCTGAAGTCGTTCCTTTACGCGCTGTGCTCTCGTATGCGCTAGCCCCCTTTATAGCTGTGCACGTGCAACAGTCACCTTTATCCTAGTAGCCGCATTGCACGCCCTCTTCGTTCACAAAGTAGCTCTCGACGATGCGTGGTGGTTGACCCTTGGTGACCATCCCTCCGCTCCAGCAGTTGAGTTTCCATGGCGCAAATCTTCCGCTGTGGGGAAGCCTTGTACAGACGGCACTTTCGCTGCTCCTCATTGCAAGTGTACTTCTCGCGAGAGCGTAAAGAAATGCACCTCGAAAATTGTATTCCTATCAAGAAACCGACAAACGAATTTTTGAATACATACAGCTACTCTGTTTCGTCACTCCCCTATGAAGCAAGTCTCGGCGTTTGCGTTCAGCTTTTTCTCGCACTCATTTGTTTTCATCCTCCTCATCTGGGTCTCTTTGAATCACATCTTCTCAAATCTGCGCCTCCTTAAGTCCCTGGTGGTGCACTCTCGTGTAATCACAATAAAAATAGCCACGCGCCAAACTCCTTTGACTCATTGCCTCAAACAGGCAAAGAAATCGAAAGCACGCCTGTTCTCTTGCACAATTAAGCGTGATATAAGCTTCATGCTTCATAAAGACCCTTGGCTTTCTGAGTTGTGCCTGTAACATGTCGATATTGCAGTCATGCGGAAATTGCCTACAAACGTCGTTACCGTGTTATTTGTTCTTGCAAAAAAGCACGGTGCCGTCTCACAAGCTCATCGTACTTGAACAGTATAGAGCGCCCCGTGTTTCGCATCCTGACTATTTTTAATAGACCAGCAGAGCTTCATTGCTGCAGTAACAAACAGTTATATAATTTCATGTATTGTGTGTCAGCATTAGGATTGATGTATCTTATTCAATGCTGGTTTGTATGATTGACAACAGTTATCCGCTCACGGATTTGTTCAATAAATTAACCCTCGATTGTTCAAGTTATTTTAGCATTTTATTTCTTAATGATCTCTGAAATTAGTGACACCAAATACTCCAAAGTGAAAGACCTTTGAAAAACGCCAATAATAATCAGCAAAAAAAAACATCAAAGCATGCAAACATCAAAAGATAATAATAATACTAATGCAAACTGCTTCACCCTTACTTCTTCTTATGTGTCTTTCCCATACATCCCCCACCAAATAGGTCAATTCAATCGTACCCCCATTTTTTTGGATTCAAAAGAGTGACAAAATATAATAATAACAACACCATGGGCAAAACAAAACAAAAAAAATATTTTTGAGTGCGTCCAAAAAAAAAAACTTCCAAGAGCAACAATAATAATAATAATAATAATACTCTCGTAAAAAAAGACTATTTCGCAAGTATTAATGTAAGTATAACTGTATTAAATATGAGAAAATTAATTCACGGCCTCCAAAATAATAATAAAACTATTTTTTTTTAATTTACATCAGCATGTGAATGCCATAACATCCATATAAGAAAAGTTGAATAACACTTATACATCTTTATTCAACAAGAACCCTATTTATTTCATTTAATACAACAGGTATGTTTGTAGTAAACACTTGTAATACGGTGTGTTTGTGCAGCATTTTAAATAGTTGGCCCATTATGGAAATTAATGGCGCCCTTTGTAAAACGGCAGCTCACAAATTACACAAATAAATTTCCCACTACAACTGTAATAGTGTTCTTTCTTCAAATGTAGCATTGTTTCTCCTTACATTAGGACAAAAGAAAAACAATAACTATTTCCTCCAAAAAAAATTCACATGTTTTACTCCGGCAGATGTAGTTTCACCCGGAAAAGCATTCACTGCAGGTGTAGTTAAGCCTACATTTTTAAAAAAATTACTTCAAGGTCTTCATATAAGGAACGCCCATTTTACTCAAATTGAAAAAAAACACATTATTATTATTATTTTATTTGATGTATATCGCACATAATGGTTCAGCCCCACCCAGAAATTTTGCAGAAAAGGCATCTGAAAATGTTTTTCAGCAAGCCTGACAAAGCAAGAGGTCCATCTAATACATTAATCTCTCGAACTTTGCCAAAGGCAATTTTGGAAACTATCCCACAAAAAGGCACGTGTACTCCAAGTGTTTTGGCAGTAAGTTTCTCTTCAATCCATATATATATATATATATAACTACGTTAATTGTCGTATTATATAATTCATAACAAGATAGATTTGTTTCATCTTATATGCGATTACGAGCCTTGATGCCTCCGTCCAAAGCTTTCTGGATATAACTATGTTTTTCACAACAACTATCTCAGCCATACTACAAATAATGGCAAAAACGGACTTTAAAAAACCAGAGGCTTCTTCGCATTATCAAGGTAACATGAGTTGCCCTTATCTCAAATAATAAATAATAGTGAAAATTATCCAACTGTAACATTTTGAAAGAATGTGGGAACAACACCAAAGCACGCGTTTGTAGGAGTTGCTTCGGTTCGAATACACAGGAACTCAATATCACTAGTCTTTCCCAAGGTCTCCGTCCACAAGAACAACTCGCCCAAAATTTCAAACTGCGTTCGTTGCAACTCCAGAAGCTCTTTTTCCAATAAAATAATCCTTTCCATAAATGAACAGAGAAAAAAGCGAGATTGACAGCTATGATTTTCACTTTGATTCTTGTGCTGCAAATAGAAAAAAAAAATACAAAGATAAAGGCACTCAATAAAGAAAAAAAAAGGAAGATTGAAAGACAATTAGAAGTTCAAAACAAATAAGCATCATCATCATCACAAAATCAATAACAAGATATATTATGTATTACCACACACAACGCGTTAAAACAGCACAATGGTGGGTAACAAAAAAAAAATTCGTAACAATGGTATCCACCACACAATTAAGAACACCCAAAAAAGCAACAAATGTAAATTAAATGATAGTAATAATGAAATACTCAGTATACTTAAAGGTGTGCGCCCATCGAGAAACTGATTGTGATCTGTCTCAAATTACACAAACATTCAATACAAACGAATGTAACTTATTCACTCTGAACAGCTCCGCATCTATCCTCCCTTTCTTCTATCACAACATCGCTTTGAGACTCTGACCGTGGAAGTTCTTCCCATTGTTCCATTGTGGGTGACTCATTTAGACCCGTTATCGCTGAATCTTCTGACTCGCGCTGAAGCACAGCGTAAACTCTTTCCGAGACGATTTTCCTCACCTCCGTAATATCTTCAGGGATGCGGTAAAGCTTTTTTAAACTTACCCACTCCACGTCAAGACATAATCCCTTCTCCGGAACTATTTGTGCTGTAGAGTCCGTGCTATTCACCTCAACAATGCAACCACTTACCACAAGTGCGGTACCCAATCTCAAATAACAACATGAAAGACCTATCAATGACTTTGCTTCCTTTCGACTGACAGGAATATCCCGGACCAAGGGTTCCAGACCAAGAGTTGTTAGTTCAATGTCCACGTAGGTGGAACTATACATACCCTTTGAAGATTTTGTTAAAAGCTCACACGCAAAGGGCGATCGCATAAATTTCACTTGCTTAAAATCGTTCATAGATAAACTGCGTCTTCTTTTCGGCCTCACAAGATTATTGGGTTTGGGTTCATCGATTAAAGTGTTCACCGCCTCCGTGATTTCCCACTCCAGGGGAAAAAAATCTGTTTTTATTATTGGCACCGAAACTTCCACCAGCCGGCCATTGTAACGCCTTGGAAATACTCTTTTCTCCTCGTTTTTCCTTTGGTTGCGAAGTATCTTAATGAATTCAACCAAAGGAGAAGCATTTTTGCTAGAAAAGGTTCGATCCCCGTACATAGTACAAAAACCCTCTCATGACCCCGGCTGTTCAAATCTGAAAATAAGCAAAGCAACCCAGCACTATGATTATCGCTTCAACGCGAGCATCAAAAAAAAAAAAGGATGAAAGAAACTCACGCTTCAACACATAGCGCCCAACGCGTTATCACGTAAAACAAAGAAAAACCTAACCACAACCCAACGATAGCACAGAAACAAAAAAAAAACGGAGCGCCCACACCACGCCCCAACCCGGTTCTTTCCGTTCTTTTTCGACCCACCGGAGCCGCGCCGGCGATTCCCCTCCAAACGGCGGCGCCTGCAGATGGGCTTCTGCGCCCTTAGCGCCGATGATTGGCCAGCGGCGGCCCCCTTCTCCACGCGAGGCGCGGGTTCGATCCCAGGCCAAACCCCGCGGGCAGAGCGGCGGTCGCCCCGGAGAAATCGAGCAGGGGGGGGGGGGGGGGGCAAACTCCGCCGGAAGGAAGGCAGGCCCGGCGAGCGCTCCGTTGCGACACGTGCGGGGGAGGAGGCTGTGCCACTGCGGTGCGGCTTTGCGGCGGCTGCTAGAGAACCACGCCGCGAGCGCCTGCAGAAGAAGGGTGCGATCCAGGACTCGCCGCCACGGAGCAAACCCC